TAATATAATATAATATAATATAATATAATATAATATAATATAATATAATATAATATAATATAATATAATATAATATAATATAATATAATAATAATATAATTAGAGTTGCAGAATTGCTAACAAACAGATAGTAATTATATAAGCAGTACAATATATTAATATTCTTATTGAAAATTATACAATTTAAATATATGGATAAGCAAATTTTGTTATTAATAACTTCATTATAAAATTTATCTGTGCTTTGACTATTTAATAAACAACCAAGTAGAATGTGTGTAAAGGCTCCAAGTTCACCACATAAACATGAGGAATCATCAATTAAACCAATTTTACATTTATAGCTTGGTGACATTGCATGACTTGCTCTTATTCTGTTTAAAGTAATAATAAAGTTCCTGTTGTTTTAATTGTGGAACCATCTTATTATTGGGATTTGGACTTGACATGATTTATAATTTAATCCCATTTGTTTGCTGTCATATAGTTCTTGCCATTTAGTCTAAGTTGAACTTTAAGTATGGAATTCAAATCTGTATATGGAATACACTGGTTAATAGAATCTTTGTGTAAGTCTGAAGCGGATTTTGCAAATCAACAATTTCGTTTCCTTGAATACCCGAATGCCCTTTGATCCAAACTATTAGCACCTCCCGTTGCGAGCTAAGTATTTCGTGATTGGTCTGTAGTATTTCTACTTCTAGATGACTTAATTTCTTGGTCGCACTTATATTTTTTAGTCTCTCTATGAGAATTTTGCAATCTGTAAATATAATACTTTTGAGTCTATACGTCCTAAGTATATATTTTAGAGCTTTACTTATTGCAAACATTTCTGCTGTATATATCGTTGCCTCATCTGGTAATCTGACTTCTTCATGATATTTTGAGGTGTGATCGTAAAAAGGGGCACCTGTACGAATTTGTTTTGACCCATCGGTGTAAATCTGATAATAGTCAGGCCATCATTGATTAACCGTTTCGAGGAAGTGGTCGTTTTTGTCAATCTGAAACGTCTGAGTCTTTTTAGAAAAAAGGATATGCGAATGTTCTGAAAATATCGGTTGGTTTTTTGATGTGTACAGTACCGACCTGAATTGGAAAAGAGTGGTATAACTTTCACAAATTAGCGGAGTTTTCTTTTTTAGCCAATAAGACTGTGTGAGTACTGAAATTGACAGTTCATGGATAGGAATTATATAACTTGCGGATTTAGCAAAACTGCTTTTGTGATAAACTTGTTACTAATTAGTTGCCTTCTTAGTTGTAACGGTGGTTCTACAGTTTCTGCTTCCATAATGTTTATTGGGGTGGACTTGGGTATCTTGGAGATATCCAAGACATATTTTTAAACTGTTGTTTTTTGGGGTTTCTATTTGGTCTAAATGAATTTGTGCCGATGACCCATACAAATGACTACCATATTCCACGATTGATCTTATCATGGTTATATAAAATAACAACGCGATATTTGGGTCAGCCTCCCATTTTGTATAACAAAAGGCTCTTAGTATGTTAATGGCATTTTCAGACTTTTTTTTATTTGATGGATGCAATCTCCGGTTTCCGGTCTAGATATAATCCCAAGTATCTCACAACATTTTTTATTTGGAAATTATAAGGTCATAGTTTTACATGATCCTGTTCTATGTTTCGTTTTCGGCTAAATAGACACACCTCTGTTTTGTGTTCAGAAAGTGTAAAATAATTTTCATTCATCCAATCTTTGAAGATGTCGTAAGTTTTATTTAATTCATACTCACAAGTTTCAAAGTTTTTCCTTGTACAATAAAAAACAATAGCATCTACAAATTATATTGTTCGTACGTGATGAAGTTTAACACTGACATCCATTGTATATAATAAAAACAAAACTGGACTTAAAATACTGTCTTGGGTGAGTCCTAGGTTCTTAGTTCTAGGTATAGTTGTTACTTGATTTATTTTTATATGTATTTTCCTGTTTGTGTACAGCGAAGTTATAACGTTCGCTAATTGCGTATTAAATCCAATCGAAATCAATTTATTGGTTAAAACATCTAGGTTAACGTCATTAAATGCACCTGTAATATCGTTAAAACCTGCCATAGTCATAAGGTTACTAGTAAATACATCTAAAATATCTGTTACAATTACTGTTATTACTTACAATGTTGACCTAGATTTTCTTGAAGCCATATTGTATATCAGATAGAATATGTTTTTCTCTAACCATTGCTCAAGACAATTTTTGATAAGTCTCTCGAAGGTTTTCAACATACATGAAGCTAATGATATGGGCCTATAAGAGGTTGGAATGGAATCCGGTTTGTCGTGTTTTTTTATTGGGATGATAATATACTCCTTCCAACTTTTATGGATCGATGTTTGTCCTTTCCATATTGCATTAAATATACTTACGAGATATTTTTTCTAATTTATTGTTAAGTTATAAAGCACGGAATATGAAATATTATCTATACCAGGAGAGCTATTGCTAGTGTGTTTGATAGATTGTTTCAGTTCTCCCATCAAAAATCTTTCGCTAAGATAGGTCGTATTCCTTGGTACTGAAGAAATTTGGAGATCATATTCATCCCGGTTGGTTGGTACCCATGGCGGTGAAATTTTAATATGAAATTCTTTTATCCAGTTTGAATTTGGGTCTATTGGTAATCTATTTTGGACTTTTCAATTTTTATAATTGTTTACCTTTTTCTAAATTTGTGAAATTGGTTTATGGCTGTTTAAGCTTGTACAGTCTCAATCCATTTTTGCCTTTTTATAAATTTAATGTGCGTTTGGCGCAAGCATCCATTTTTTTGAATTCAATTAAATTTTCTCTATTTGGAGTTCTC